CCAAAAAACAAAACCCAAACAGCTGAGTCAAAGCAGCTGCATCCAGAGAAAGGAGTTGGATTGTCCAATGGTGGGGACTCCCTCCAGTTCCCTCCCAGGGGACAGACGACGGACCAGGCGCTGGCGCCGGGCTGGAGAAAGCCTCTCTAGGGAGCAGCCCTCGTGGCCGGCACCCCCAGGAGTGAAGAGAAGGCGACGGGACCACAAAGGCTTTCGAGACTGGGACACCTTTGGAAGGGTCTGGGCCCCACAGAAACAATAACTCATTTATAACACAAGAGGGCGCCCCGAGCCTGTGCAGAGGGAAAGACGGGAGGCCTGGGAAGCCCTGGAGATGTATTTGGGGGGACTCAGGTCCTTTCCTACGGGCCCAGGGTGAGCAGGGTTATCAGGACCTCCTTCCTCCTAGGGGCTGAGGGCTGCCTCCTGGCGAGTGCAGGAAGCTTCACACTGTTCGGGTGAGGGAATAATGGGAAACTCTGCACAGATATATTGGGTTCATGACAGCATTCTCTCTACTTTTGTTTATGTTGGAAATTTCCCATAATAAGATGTTGAAAGGGCCGGGCGCAGTGGCTCATGCCTGTAATCCCAGCGCTTTGGGAGGCCGAGATGGGAGGATTGCTTGAGGCCAGGTGTTCAAGATCAGCCTGGGCAATATAGTAAGACTTTAAAAAACAAACAAACAAAATGAAAAATAAGTTGAAAACTTTTGGGGGGGCAATGTGGCACCAGGCCTTTGCAGCTTACAGTGCTGCCTGGGGCTGCCCAAGAGGCGTGGCCTACCTCAGACCCTTAGACTACACACCCAAGGGCAGGCCAGAGTCCGCTAGAGGGGCCCTGAATGGGGCAGAAGGCACCACCTGGGCAGGTCATCAGTGGGCAGCAGCAGTGCCCTTGGGTCGCACGGGGGCAGCTCGCAGCACAGAGGCAGCGGATGTATATTTAACAGCACCTGCTTTGAAATCTGGCAGCCCTGAGTATGGATTTCCACTCCCTACTGATAGGAGCTATTGAAATCTGCTAGGCTGCATGAAGCCCCGAGCTTCGTATTTCCTGGATAAGGACATCTATGCAGAGTCGTGTGGATGGAGAGCAGTCTTAGCACAGTGCCTGGCAAACAGGGCGGTTCTCAGAAAATAGAAGCCTCTATTATTATGAAGGAACCCCCATAGGGTTTCTGGAGGAGGCACCAGAGACTCTCTCTCCTTCAGCAGCCCTTTCCCAGGTTGGGTGAGAATAGTGACGCTTGGCTGGAATTTCTGGGTGAATTAAGAATGGACAGGCCTGGGTTCCGTACCCATCCCTGGCTCAGATGCTCTGTGTGGTGGAGGGGTGGGCTGGGGCAGAGCCACTCAGGTGCCTGGGATGCCCATTCGCCCAATCTTTTTTTTTTTTTTTTTTTGAGATGGGGTCTTGCTGTGCCGCCCAGGCTGGAGTGCAGTGGTGTCATCTCTGCTCACTGCAATCTCCTCCTCCGGGTTCAAGCGATTCTCCTGCCTCAGCCTCCCAAGTAGCTAGGGTTATGGGCATGTGCCACCATGCCTGCCCGAGTTTTGTATTTTTCAGTAGAGACAGGGTTTCACTATGTTGCCCAGGCTGGTCTCGAAATCCGGACCTCAAGTGATCCACCTGCCTTGGACTCCCAAAGTGTTGGAATTACAGGCGTGAGCCACCGCGCCCGGCCCCTGGGATGCCCACTCTTAGTTCAGGGAGGCTGCTGCTTCTTATGGTCAGACCAGCAGCAGCTAGTTCCCAGTCTCTGCCTCTAAGGGATGCAGTTCAGCCGCCCAGTGAGCTCCCAGCACCATGGGTGACCTGAGGACGGAGGGTGCTCGAGGGGTGGACTCACTGGCGAGGACCAGCACTTGGAAACTGCAAACCACGAGGCACAGCACACCTGGCTTTAGGCATTTTTCCTATGCTGTAGCCTACAGGCTGCGAGAAGAATGCGAATCCACATTCGAGATGATATGTGGGTGGATGTGGGGTTATTCCTCTCGGGAGGCCAAATCCCCAGAGGCTGGAAAATAACAGCAAGAGAGAGATCCGCTGTGGCAGGAGTTTGCTCTGTCGCTTTCTAGGCCGGGTGACCTTGGCGGAGGCACCGAACCTCTCTGAACCTCTGTTTCCTGATCTACAAAATGCAGTTGTTGTATTTTTTTTTTTCTGAGATAGGGTCATGGTCTGTTACCTAGGCTGCAGTGTGGTGGCTTGATCTCTGTTCACTGCCTGTAGAGTTCAAGCGATGCTTGTGCCTCAGCCTCCCAAGTAGCTGGGATTACAGAGGCACGCACCCCATGCTTGGCTTTTTTTTTTTTTTTTTCCAGTAGAGACGGGGTTTTGCCATGTTGGCCAGGCTGGTCTTGAACTCCTGACCTCAAGTGATCCACTTGCCTCAGCCTCCCAGTGCTGAGATTACAGGCGTGAGCTGCCGTGCCCGGCCTACAAAATGCATTTCTTAATTCTCTCTGATAACAAAGGAAAGCCTCTAGCCACCTGGTGCATACACAGTAAATGCTGTCATAGCCCGATCAGCCACCCACATGACACAAAAACCAAATGCAGCACCCCCAGCGCTGTTCTGCTCTCCTTGGTTAAAAGTGCTCCCAATGCTAAAAAAATCTTTAGATTCAGGCTGCTGGAGAGAAAAAGTTACAGATCTTCCTAGCCCTCTTAGGTACTCATTAGCTGATGACCATCCAAAAATATTTTTGCCCCATCCTCTGGTCCCTTGGTCATGGGTCAATGTCCCTGATTAGCTGCGTGGGAAAGATTGGAAAGAAACAGCCTGTCTATGAGTGAGGACACAGCCGGCCTGAGCAGGGCAGGAGACTCACCTTTCTTCTCCATCCGTTTCATGTCCATCAGCTTCTCCACATTGTTGGGGTCGTTCAGCCACAGCTGCATCCGGACGAAGGGCTCTCGTCCTTTCAGACTGAGCTTATGCCAGGGTTTGGGGCGGGCAAGGAGGTCGGAGACAGAGCCTTGGGTGAGCCCTAAGATGGTCTCCCCAAATAAGCGCTGGCCTAGAGAGAAAACAGAAGCGAGACAGGTATTGTCACTGAAAGCCAGGGATCTGAAGGGACAAGTATGTGTCAAGGTTAAAATCAGACACAGGAGTTTAAAGGCCCAGGGTTGGGCTGGCGACGTCCTATGTTACAGCAAACACATGGTAGAAATATATCTTCAACCAGACTTTTAATACTCTCCACTGGCGAGGGAGTTGGCACTGCTATTGCATTCTCCATACACACAACCAATGATGTTTATTATTATTATTATTTTTTTGAGATGAAGTCTTGCTTTGTCACCCAGGTTGGAGTGCAGTGGCATAATCTCAGCTCACTGCAACCTCTGCCTCCCGGGTTCAAGTGATTCTTCTGTCTCAGCCTCCCGAGTACCTGGGACTACAGGTGTGCACCACCATGCCTGGCGAAGTTTTGTATTTTTAGTACAGACTGGGTTTTGCCATGTTGGCCAGGCTGGTCTTGAACTCCTGACCTCAGGTGATCTACCCCCCCCCTCCCCAGCCTCCCAAAGTGCTGGGATTATAGGCGTGACTCACTGCATCTGGCCAATGACGTTTGTCTTAAGCCTTCAGCCTGGTGCGGTGAGGCGGGAAGATCATTTGAGCCCAGGGGTTTGAGACCAACCTGGGCAACACGGTGAGACTCAGTCTCTACAAAAATACCACAAAAAAAAATTAGCTAGGCATGGTGGCATGTACCTCTAGTTCCAGTTACTTGGGAGGCTGAGATGGGAGGACTGCTTGAGCCCAGGAGGTTGAGGCTGCAGTGAGCTATGACTGCACCACTGCACTTCAGCCTGGGAAACAGAGAGAGACCGTGTCTCAAAAAAAAAAAAAAAAAAAGAAAGCCTTCAGGCTTTGTATGTGCTGAGGTCACGCTAACACCTGTGGTGTTTCTCAGAGGCAGTGAAATCTCTAAGCCAGAGCTCAGGAGGCCAAACAGCAAACAGGAGACCCCTCTCGTACAACCTCAAAACAGAGGGCAGCCCGCGTCTCCTTCCACAATTAGCAAGGTTATCAGGTCTCGCTGAGACAACGGGGCACGCAACCCGCAATCACAGCAGGACAGAGGAGAGGGCGAGCTGCCCAGCTCTGCTTTTCTGAGAGGCTGGCCAATTCCAATTCCAAAGTCTGCTTTTGCAGTCTAGGCTGCCTTTGCTAAATAAAGTAGCTGGAAGTGGATCAAAACCCCTTCTCCGATACCTTTTCTTCTCCCAGGCAGGGGTAGGCAGCCCGCTTCACAGGCTGATCAGAGGGCATTTCGCTATGGAGGGCACAGCCGCATTGAGTTGGCAATGCTTGTCAGGAGCTTAGAAAGAAAGGCTCACTTCTCTGAGGGCCACTCCGCTGCCGGTTTAGAGGGCCACCGCTTGTAAAGATACAAATTAGGATCAGTGATAACCTGGATGGCCTGACGGGAGTACTTGAATGAACAGGACTTATTAGGTGGAAGTGGAGACTGGGATCAGAGGGGCCGGTGTTTGACCCCATAAAGCATACAGAACAGAAGGCACCTCTCCCCGTCAGGGGCAAGGAGACGACAGAGGGCTGGCTTGTTCTCTCTGTGGCTCACATCCTCTCTGTGAAATAGAAGCACCACACACTGGCTTCTAAGAAGGGGGCCTCCAAGTAAAAGTTTACTGCCTGGAAAGCTCTGAAACTGAGATATTAATTTCTTATCAGTCTTTTTTATTTTTTCCCCTAAAGAAACAGGGTCTCGCTATATTGCCCAGGGTAGACTCCAACTCCTGGGCTCAAGCAATTGTTCTACCTCAGCATCCTGAGTAGCTGGGATTACAGGTGCACACCACCACGCCTGGCTTGGTCATTTTAAACCTAAAGATAAATTTACTGATTTTGTAAGCCTGTGGTTTCTCTGTCTTTCAAACTCTTTAGCCTATAAATGTCCCAAGTCCTTATGATTTTTTTTTTTTTTTTTTTTTTGCAGTTGTTATAAGAAAATTTTGGCCAGGCGCGGTGGCTCATGCCTGTAATCCCAGCACTTTGGGAGGCCGAGGCGGGTGGATCACAAGGTCAGGAGATCGAGACCATCCTGGCTAACACAGTGAAACCCCATCTCTACTAAAAATACAAAAAATTAGCCGGGCGTGGTGGCAG